AGCTGCTGAAGAGGTCCAGATCACAGGGCTGCCGGCTTCTTGCTGTCCTTAAAAGGATTTCCTTCTCCAGTAGCAGGGGGGTACCCTCACCTGAAAGAAATATTTGTCTTAAAAATAACACTGGCTTCATAGGGGACACTTTAAGATGTCACCCGTCTGCTTCTTGTGAAACTCGCAGCCCCTGAAACTGCTTCCACACAGTTGTGAAACCCTGAGCGCTGACTGCTGAGCTCCGCAGCTGAAGGCTGAGCGGTGGAAAATGTGTCCCGTGTCAATTTATCCACTGATGAAATGGAGCTGGCCTGGTGTGTTAGCCTAAAACAACTCTTGGTTCTCCAAGGAGTCTAATTCTACATTAGCTTGCAGTTTTCTGCGTTCCCTTTGGGTGTCTGTGTGTAGGCTCATTTTAGGCTCTCCCACCTCCCAAAAAAAAAAAAAGCAGGGCATGACTTTTCCCCATTTCTTCTGGTCTGTCTTCAGCTTTCTTGCTGCCCAGGTCGAGGTACGAGGGAACTCCTCATGCGCATGCCTTGTTTTCCTCTTTCATTCTTTATCCTGGACCCTGTCTTTCACACTTGATGATGGGACATTGTATCTGTCCTCACCTAATACAGCTGGAGATGCCTCCGGTCATGGCATTCATCCTTTGCTTTTCACACCTTTTTTTTTTTTTTTTTTTTTTTTTTTTTTTTAGCAACACTGGGGGGGTTTCTGGGTAAGTAGAAATCTTAATGCACAGTTGAAAGTGCTACATGGCAGACCCAAATGTCACTTGGCAGTAGGCTCAGCTCCTCGCCCTATTGTGGTGTGGGTGCCGATGGCATGTAAACAAGAGTTAGGGTTGTTCCTGGAACCCTTACCTGGGAATTTCCTGACTTTCACATATTTATTTAAAGCCCCTCTTTGTGGCTCAAGGAGCCGTACTAGTGAGCTTGAACGATGGGTCGTCTTTTGATAACAAACGGCGAGACTGCAGTTGCACACCTTTTGCTGTTTTTGTAGCTTTTGCGTTGACCTAACCCTAGCTGATGGAGGCAGGGCTGAGCCCAGCTGCCAGCTCTAGCCCTGGCTTGCATGGCAGCCCCATGATTTTAGGAGGATGTAGAGAGGAGCGCGATGCAGCAGCCGAGCAGTGCCTCCTGCTTGCGTTGTACCGCTCTGCCCCTGCTACATGGAGTGTTTTGAACTGAAGCCACCGGTTGATTCACTGGTGAACTTTGGCAGATGCACAAATATTTATTGGGGGCTAAGCTGAGATAACCAAGGCACATTGCCCCTGTGCTCTACGAGCTGAACTGAATTTTGGAACCATGGTCTGATAGATGTGGCTTTCCAAGTCATCTTCCCTGTGCCTTCTGTGCTCTTCTCAAACCGAGTGTCACAGAAGTTATTTCTCAAGGTTAGGGTTAAACCAACCCCTTGTAGCCGCTGCTGATTGAAAGAACTTTTCCTGACTTGCTTTTAGAGCAGGTTGTTGTAGATGCCTTCATCTTGCTGTGTTTAAAGCACGAAATACAAAATGAAGGCTCCTGCTGTCATTACAGGGTCTTTAGGGTAATGCGTATTCATGCTGACTTGGGAATTGAAAGCTGCTTGCAGGTGTCAGGAGGAGAAGAACAATCCGGCTTTCGAATCAAAATTCATTGAATTATCTTAAAGCTTTTGCATCATTCCTCCTTTCCTGTAACCTGTTTTTTCCTGTCCTATTAATTCACTGATGCTGTAGTCCGTCAAAATTGAAGCTATTACGACATCGGGAACATGAGTCGGTGACATGACTAAATGAATCAGAGGAGGCTGGCTGGAAAGGAAGCTCATCGTACACGTACATCTCCTCGCAATCAGCAAAAATGGGACAGGCTATGCAGAAGGGACCGAACTGCTAAACTCCTGCTAAATGTTCTTAATGTTGACCTGGATGTGGCACCTCCCATCTGAAGGAAGGGGACAAAGGGACATTTAACACTGTGCATGAGGAATGTTTTGGCCTGTGGCAGTTTCCTTTCAATTATTTAGGGTAGCTTTTTCTCTCAACCATATACCATTTGGATCTGCTCAAATTATAGATTCATCTCTATAGTTTTCAAATTGCATGGGAAAGAATTGTCTGTAATTTACATCTAAAGTGACGTACAGTTGCTATGGGATTCGGTGGCAAATTATAAACCCATTATGCTTTTTTTTTTTATACTGGTGGTAGCAGACTAAAGCAGCAGGTCTAATTGGTGACGTGCCACAGGAAAATAGAAAGTTTGTGACAGAATCCTCTTGTTCTGCTTTTTATCAGCAAATCATATGACACCATTAATTGGTGAAGCTGAATTTGGGCATTAATAACTTTTTGCTCTCTAGCAATATTGGGGGAAGGAAGCTTGAAGATTAACCCCTTAGATTAGTATTACGAGACTAGGTTATTTTCTTAAGATACGTAAGCGGAGTGTTTTGGCACTTGTACCAATGGCTCTAGCAGCTGGATCCTGGCAATTGTATTCATTACCCAGCAAGACCGAACCCTTGCTCCTTTTTAGCATATTCTATGGTTGGTTTCTTATTCCACTTCAACGGCAGCAAAGGGAGAAAGGAAAGCTATTCTAATTTTTTTTTTTTCCTCCTGTCTGAAGCATATCTGATCAAACGTGGTGTGCAAACACGTCTCTTCGGAGCAGTCTATCTCCCGGTGACCTCTGATGTGGCCAGCGTGTGCCGTGCAGGTCCTGCATCCAGCAGCTCCTGCGCTCGCCATGAGCCAGTCAACCCGTGGAGTCTACGGGTGATCCTCCACCATCAGGGTTTTTTTTTCTGAGCCAGTCTGAAGTGCTCTGTCCTGTTTAGTTGGTTTTTGTCATAGTGTTGCTTGGCAGAGGGATGGTGACTGTTGAAATAGTTCACTTGCATAGTGCCGACTCTGTTGGGATAGCAGAAGAGCCTTTATTACTGGCGAGGGAGGGGAAGTTTTGTTTGAAAAAGCATTTGAGGTCTCGTTAGTAAATGAGCGTGTTATCTCCTAAACAGTTTGCACATTTCAAACAATTTAAACTCTGCCTGTAACTTGTAAGCATAAACTTGTGAAGCGTCTCCAAATCCCTGGTGTTTGTGCATGTTGAAAAATGGGAAGGGACAGACTGCATGCGTCACTCTTGTACTAATTTGTGCCAACTAATCCATGGGAGAAGAATACATTTTGGCTGACTTAGTGCTTTTGCTGCTAACGCACAAGAGAGTGTGTTTGAATGGATGGAGTGGCTGCATGGGCTTAGGTAGACTTTGAAGAGGTACCATATATCTGGGATCCTGTACCCGATACCCCTAATTTGTGAACACAGCCATGTAATATACTGGTTTTATTTGGGTTTTGTGAATGAGAGAAGTTGGGGGTGGGGGAAGTGGTCATCAGCTCGGCTTCATAACATCAGGAAGGTTGAGATTGAGTTACCTCTGAATAATTAAGGTTAATGCTGTTTCTGGAGGAACCATTGTCTGGAGTGAACTTAATGAGGGGAAAAAAAAAAAAGCCTGATAACCCAAACTATGCTAGTATTTTATACAGTGTAGATACAGAGGAGACGTCACCAAAACCAGGCTTCTACATTCAACGTGCCTTAGCTTGACCTAGATGCATTATCCAGGAAAGGAGCTTGGATTTGCTGATAAGAAGAGTTTTCTATAGTAGCTCATGTGTTGCTTAGAAACATCCCATGTACATAAGGCAACTTTTGCACACCCTGGTAACCTAGTATAGCCTTTTGACTGTTTTTTTTGTTTAAATTCCCCCCTCCCCCCCCCCAAGAATTTATATAATAAGGAGCATTTATATAATAATGAGCAAAACCCCTCAGCAGTTGGTTTGCAGAGTGGTGTATCACTGCCGCAGCGGGAAAGCAGGCTTCCAAAATCCAGTCCTTTTTGCATTGCTCCAGCGAAAAGGCAGTCTAGAAAAAACACTGCTCCATGCGCTTGGTCTCTCCTTTCTTTACATTGGACTAGTGCCTTTTTTAATTTAAAGAAACCAGCATTTGTTTAACTCAAAAAGAGTTACTGCTTGTAAGCATGACTTTACTTAGCTGCCCACCTCCACCCACCTTGAGTCTTCCCTGATCTGGTACAGTCTGATTACTGTTAACCCTCTGCTCTCCCTCTCTGCAGCTGAGCTTTTCTTGGCTTTTGCTATGCAGGAGAGAAGACTTTAGCCCAAGGCGTTCATGGAAAACCAAGATGTTTTACTTTTCTTCAGAGCTTCTTCGGGCCAGCCACCACCACCAGTTACTCTTTCTTCTTATATGCAGAACCTGCAACCGCCCAGGGAGGCGCTGGGCTTGGTCCTGGGGCATACTGCTCTGCAGGAAAGCAGGTCATCGCAGGGAGAAGGCTGGATCCAGCGTCTTGAAGGGCGATCTGCGCGTAGGACTGCAAGCAAAGGCTTGAGTCGTGCTGCCGGCTTCAGCCCCCGTTCCAGTTCACGCCCTTGGGTTTCATGGTAGACGCAGACTTTCTGCTTTAGGTTCGTGTCTGTGTGTGGTGAGGTTTAACAAGTGCTGTGAAACTTCCTAAAAACGGCTAGTCGCCTAAACCTTTGTAGTATTTAGATTTCATCAGTACAAACATCCTCTTGACTACTTGGCTCCAACGTTTTGAGACCTGTGTAGTTTAGCTGATAGGCCATGCTGTGATAAGAGCAGCCACCTGACAACCCTGGCAGTTTTGTTCACGCGGGATGGGTGCTGCCAGGATAGTTCAAGCTAATTGTCGTTATTTAGCAAGAGCAGATGTGTTACTTAAAAGCCTAGCAGGACAGAAGAAATGCTAGCTCAATCCATATCACTGTGCCCAAAGGATCCGTATTTTCTAAAACCAAAGTGGAAGACGCTAATTTAATCTTTCTCCTGTATTCTTACCCACTGAGGGCCTGTTCTGTGATGGGCTGCAATCAATACATTATGTGCCAGTTGTGGTTATTTGAATCATATTTCCACATTTCAGTGTCTAGACTTTATGTTTGTGTGAGTTTTGTTGTACCTTTCCAGCTCCGGCGCTGATTTCAGTTATTTTTGGCTCCCGGTTTCTATGAGAAAATCAAATGAGCTGTGTTTCTGTCTTTCCCAGTCCCCAAAAAGAAGGGAACAAGGGGATTGACAGAACTTAGTTTTTCAAGCTCCTCCGCCACCATTTTTCTCTCTCCTGTGTGTGTGGATGAGCCAGGTTCTGCCATTTGGTGACCAGGAGATGAAAGCAAAGACGAAACACTGATGGCTGGAGGTAAATCTGCCCCTGGTTCTTGCACTGAGAAAAATCTGTGAAAAAAGGTAGG